ATCACCTCTGCTTCTTCTGGATGTAATTATGAACAAAGGTAATTTAAAATAAGTTTCACAGGATACCTAGTGTGACAGGGTTGGGCCAGATGGCTACAGGAGAGTGATAGAAGGTAGATATATTAGCCCCAGGTTAAGTAGGTCCCTTTTCCCTGAGTAAGGTAACAGGGAAGGTTCCAGAACAATCAGGAACTTTCTGGAAGCAATTAAGGCAGACAGGCTGATTAGAACACATGCATCCAATCAAGAAACTGCTAGAATCAATTAAGGCAGGCTAATCAGGGCACCTGGGTTTAAAAAGGAGCTCACTTCAGTTTGTGGTGCGTGCAAGGAGCTGGGAGGAAGAGGCGCAAGAAGCTGAGAGTGAGAAGGCATACTACTGGAAGACTGAGAAGTACAGGCATTATCAGACATCAGGAGGAAGGTCCTGTGGTGAGAATAAAGAAGGTGTTGGGAGGAGGCCATGGGGAAGTAGCCCAGGGAGTTGTAGCTGTCACACAGCTGTTACAGGCGCCACTGTAGACAGCTGCAATCCACAGGGCCCTGGGCTGGAACCCGGAGTAGAGGCTGGGCCCAGATTCCCTCCATCACCCCAACTCCCTACTTGATACCAGAGGAATTGAAATGGACTGTGGGTTCCACCAGAGGGGAAGGTCTCTGGCCTGTTCCCCGATCCACTAGGTGGATCATCAGAGACTGCAGGGATTGTTCTTCTTCCTTTCCCCATGCTGGCCAGTGATGAGGCTAACTGAGTGAACGGCAGATCTGAGCCATGAAAGTGGCCAATATGAGGGCTGCCATGAACCTCTGAGGCGAGAAAATCCGCCAATAAGCGCAGGACCCACCAAGGCAGAAGAGGAACTTTGTCACACTAGAGAATAATCACCTGAAAGCAAGAGTATGTCACAAATACCTTCTGGAGCAGAAGGCTCAGGGAAGTAATGTTCAGTCCTCCAATAAGCTTTCAGAAGATTTTGCCATTAGAGATCCTGCCAGTTATCTGTGATTTGCTTAAATTTAACCTCAAAATTAATTATTCAAGCCCAAGTGTGATTATTACTGAACACAGAAAGAGAAGCTGGAACTGGGCAAATCAAATCCCAGCACAATACCTAGGAGACCTGCCAAAGCATTTTATTTGGAACACCTGGTGGTGTTTAATTTTAACAGCAGTGACTCACTTACTGGAAAAACAAGTTTTTATCACCCTGAGGAAGGCAGCCAGTCTCCTCCCAGTGGCTTTGCCTTGCATCGGCAAACCTACACCATTATGACATTGAGCATTGTCCAAGCAAAGCCATTTAGGCTTTTACAATTTTTCAAGATACATTAGCTAGTTAAGTTTTTTTTTTAATGGCAAATACTTTTCTGTTGGGGTGAGGCAGGGAAAGTCTGAGTTCCACCTGTGTGCCACCCACATCTTTGGAACAAACTAACCCAGCTGTTTTGGCAGTTTTAACAGCTGGTTTTAATTTTAAGGAGTTTTGTTGGGCAGTAGATATAATTATTTCTTCTCTCCGCACCTGACATAGGTTATTAGTATGTGAAAGATGACCTGAAAAATAAGTGGGTCTGTGCACTTTGTTGATTCTTAGATAGATAAAGAAGGCCTGAAAAGTTTAAATTCAGACCATACCACCCCTTTTTTTCTGGAAGACTCTAGGGGTGACTAGTGTGTTGTTAGATTTCATAACATCACAAAACTCCAAGAAGTGAAACCCAAGCAATTGAGAAGGGAAGGGATTTTAATTCAGCCTCTTAACAGCCATGTTTCACAGAGTTTTAACAAAAACCAAACACCTGAGGACCACTTGAGAGAAAAATACTTTGTAAATGATGCAACACCTTTAAGAAAGGGCTGAGAAAAGCTCCCACTCCACTTCGTTGGGCTCTTCAAGAACAGCGTTAGCAAACACCAGGAAAACAAAAATTGGTTCAATTAATATTTCTAAGGCAAAAACCAGAAACCCCTTCCTATCCCAAACCCAGGCTTTCAGTCCTTGCCACACTGAGAAGTTTTGTTCTGAGCACCGCAGGCCCCACCAACCCTCCTATTTGGTGCTCTGCAAGAGAAATTGAGACCTCAGCCTGCTAATAACAGCTCAGGAAGCACTGGAAGGCTGCTTCCCTCCCCAAGCCAGCACTATACTCAAGGCTTCCTCTCACCCTGCACAGCTGCCAGGCCTGCTTTCCACCTTCCCTGCTGGCTCCCAAGCAGGAGAGAGCAATTGGGAACTGGGAGCAGCAGTAAGTAAGCCATATCTGGCTTGGCTCACAGGGACTCCTGTCAAGGAGAGACAGGGCAGACTTGGCTTATAAAAATGCTAACTTCTCCTATTCCCAATCGGCCAGAAATTCTGCTTCCCTGCTGTAATAGCAGCAACCTCATCACTCTGAGTCATCACACCCATATGACACCCATGCTGGAATTTTCCCCCTAAGTGTTAAAAAGGAAAAGAGAGTTAAACCAGTGAAGACTGGATGAGGAAGGCTGTCCTGAGCACCTCCCTCTCCACTCAGTACGTCACACCTTAAATGTAAGGTCCTCTCCAGCTCATCCCTGGGTTTAACCAGGCCAAACGTTTCATGGGTTACATACAAATATCTACTGTTGTTAGCCAGTCCCAGTGCCCAGAACACTGATGGGATCCAGACTTGTTCTCTCTCCTGCCCCTCCCTGTCCCTCTGATGTGCACCTTTTCACCTTCTCCATTGCCTCTCCCATCCCTAAGCAAGGGACCAGGAGTAGGAGAGATGGGGCTTGTCATAAACACGAATAATAACTCCGCTCTAGTTCCCAGCAACCTCTAATTTCTCTCCTGCCACCAAGACCTCTAAATAGCTTTTCACCCTATATCCACACCTCAGGATGACTGATTTCACTCGGTCTAGAATTAAGTAGGATCAGGCCTGGATAGTAGACTTCCAAAGAAAACCTAAGCAGCTGCACAAAAGTGGTGATAATCAATTAGGAGTTGCTCTTTCCTTTGCATGTGTATTGAACCAATGCACCAGTATATTGTTAGATCTGAATTGTGTAAAATCAGGTTTTGTCCATGTAGATCCTGCCAGCATGAACTAAAAGGTACCTTGTTTGCTTTAACACAGGCCCGTTTCAAACAGGACACCATGAGTGCAAACTAGGTATCTTTTAGTTACCACTAGCAGGGTCTACATGAGGCAGTTACAGTGCAACACTTTAGTGCATGCTGCAACTCATCCCCTCCACCCCAGTACAACAGGGCCATGTAAATAAGCCCTTTATCAGTTTAAATTCACAATGTTATTTAAACTTAGTGCAGCTCTCAGCGAGATGAGCTTTAAGAGCTTCACCTCCAGATAAATTGGAACAAGATGAATCCAGATAGGGTTACTTCCAAGCAGTGGCTGATACGTCCTAATGTAGAGTGTTTGGAATACTCGTAACAAGTGTGTGTGATCTTTGGAGCCAGCTATTTACACACCAGTCAAGCGGCACCGGAGTGCTAGGTTGAGTGGAACATTCAGGGAGGATTTCTAAAATGGCTTTTAAAAGGAAACGCAATAGAAAGTGAGGTAGAAAAATAACTTTAGTTACTGAAATCAGGGATTGACATTGCAAGACTTGCAAAACATAGCTACATTTCAGCCAGGTTAAGCCCTACAGAATATATCTGTAACTTAAATATTTGACCTGGCAACACAAGTCCAGTTATGTTTGTCCTGCTGATTCTGATGAGAATTTTATACATGTGAATTAGTTATTTATAAGCTTTTGTGAATAAATGTTGAATTTATTTAGTACTATTTCCATGAGATTTTTTTGAATATATATCCTAAAAAGTTAATGGAAACAAACCGGTCAACATAGTGATAGTTTTCTGAAGATTTAAATGAAAATGCCAGAGACATTTTTTGACTGAGTAGAAACAAAAATACTCTGGCAGTCTATAAACTAGTGAAAAAGAGGGCCAGATTCACAAAAGGACTTAAGTGCCTAATTGGCACTTTAGGTGCCTAAATCCAAGACACACACTCCATTGGGATTCACAGCCTACCTACTCAGCTGCCCCTGAGCCCTACAGATGCCTAAACTCGCTTGGCACCTAAGTGTTTGCAATAAAAGTTCCCTAGGCAACTACATTTCTGGCTCTGTGCTGGCTGGCTGTGCATCGCAGCCACATGACAGGCATCCAGATGCCTAAGCCCCAAAATGATACACATGGGGAAAGATAAAAGCATTCCTCTGTCTAACTTGCCTGAAGAAGTTCTGAGCATGCCTACCACATTGGGCCCCTATAGGCAAGCATACACAGAACATTGCGGGGGAGAGCAAGACCACCTCCCTCATGACTTTTAACCCTAGTGGTTAGGATACTCACCTGGGATGTGGGAGACATCTAGTTCAACTCTCCCCCTGAGAGGGAGAAGGGACTTGTCACCTCTCAAGTGAGTGCCTTAGCCACTGGGTTATGAGACATTCTAATATGGGGCTCCCTCAGTTTCTTCTATTGACTCTGTTCCAGTGTGAATAAATAATGAAATACTCCAGAAGGCATTCTGTGCCAAAAAATTAAAAAGTCTGCACACAATATTTTAAAATTCTACAAATTATATTTGTCAAATAAATGTGGAGGCTCCAGCATGGCACTGGGGAGCACAGGACACTGTCTGCACAGTGGTTGGAGATCACTGTGCAGCTCCCCCCAGGACACGGACTCAGTGGTGAGGTTGCACCCAACCCTGACACAGCACAAGGACTGGGTCTGTCCCAGAAACACTCCAGGGTCCTGCCCCTCCATGCCAGGTGTACCAAGTGTGGGCAGGCAGGCTCAGCAAGGCAAGATCCAAGTGTGGAGGAGCATAGTAGGGGGGGATCCAGGTGTGACAGATTTTTGTTACTAATTTGCCGGGTAGCTGGTGCTTGTACACTAGCGGGGCAATGCGATTTACAATGGAGTACAGACCCACCCACTTGGCATTCAGAGTGTGGGCCACCTTCCCCAGCTTTGGAACATTACCTTGTCTTCAAGTTGCCATGGTCAGATGTCTTCACTGACAATCCCCTTATGCTTGGCCTTTTCCTTATCTAAAGCGGTCTTTACGGCTTCACGGGTTTTACAAAGCTTTTTTTTTAACTGGGCAAAGCTGAGACATTTTGGTTCTGGCAAACAGTAAATGTGATTATTGGTAAACACAATATTTACATTACATTTGCTTACTGGTGGGTTGCTAACATTTTTTATTTAAAAAAATTTTTTTTTTTTAGGAATTGACATATACACATTACCCATTATACAGTACTTTGGTCTTATTATTTAATTTATTTTAGATACAAGATTTTAGGGAAATGTCTTTACTACAGAGCTTTGGAGCAACAGGCAAGGATAAGCACACCCACTTTTGAGGAGTCCAGTTGGTACAACCTCTGGTGTTCAATAGCTTCCCTCCCTCCCTCCCCAGCCCATTGGCTTGTGGTCTGGGGTAGCCAGAAGGATTCCATGTTCACTATGGGTAGTGGGCTAACTTTTTATATTTTTGCCTTCAGAGCCTGTTGGTATGCGATTTTAATAACAATTCTCCCCATGAAAAGGTCTGGCCTTACTATACTAAAAACGTACTGCATTTATTTGTATTGATAAGTATTAAACAGTGATTCTTTTTTTGCTTTAGCAAGTGTATTAAAACCTTAGTGTTTTTTGATATTACCCTAAAACATTTTGTGTTTTAAGGTGAACAAAGCAAGTATCTGCATTTTATTACATTTTATAGCTATAGCACTATGTATTTTTTTTATTTGTATTTGTTTTTGTATTAGGCTGTTTTGTAGCTGTGACAAAGAGCTTAATTTATTTTTAATTATTTGTAGGTTTACAGTATTTATAATTTTTGCTTTAAAATTATTTTTTTGTAATATGGTGTCTGCTACTTGAGGAGGTTTTCCTGCAGCATTTGGTACACAACAGTGCTTAGCAACAAGACAAACAACACAAAATAACACAAAACACAATTTCTATTGTGACAGTAGATTCCTGGTATTTTGGGTTGCTTTTCAGCTGGTGTCAGCTTTGTTTGTTTTTTTTGAAAGACAAAAGAACATGTTTTTACCCCTTTAGGGGTGGCAGATTATTGCTTAAATTTTATTTTTTTTATAAATATTTTTGCTGATTGCAGGCAAAACAGAGGAGTTACCTTCACATTTTCCTGTGATTGTTTATAGGCAGGCCAGATTTCCATGACTTTTACCTTTATTAGTTAGGTAATTTGCATTAACACAGATGCTTTTTGGTTTGCTTTTGGATTTAAAGCCATTAGCAGCTCAGAGACTCTGTCTTAAAAGGAACACATTTAATTTTTAGCAGAGTTTTGAATATTTTTTATTTTTAATTTTTGCTTTTAAAACACACAGCGATTTGAAGACAAAAACACAACCTATTGTGACGCCCTTTGGCAAAGTGATAGTTTGATTACACAGAGCTATTTTAAGGCTTAGTGTGGGGCACGGTCTTCCTCTCTTTTACTGCAGCTTTTATTTGCTATTTTGTTATTAAAAAACAGATTAAATTTTTTAAAAAATTTTTTGGTTTTGCTTGCCCTGCTGCAGCCATGACTTTGGTTTTTATTTTAAACAGTTTAAATTTTATAAAGCATTGAGTTACCTTAAGGTTTGAATGCTAAATACCAAAGTTAAACAACACTAGTTACCTGTGTCTGGCAAAAGTATTACTTGGTTTTGCAACTTTGAATGGAAGATTCAAATGGATTTTAGTGGTATTATTTAAAATAACACCAATGTATTTTAAAACCCCAAGAGTGCTTTTTTTTTAGCAAATTTGACTAACTTGTTTATAGTCAAATGATTTTAATTGAACAGTCTTTTTTACCTGGATTGTTTACAGACCTTCCTTTGGAAAAGGGCCCATTTTCCTTCAGAATAGCTGCAAAGAAACCAAGAAATTTTTTTTAAAATATTTTTACAACGTTTAACTGATTAATTTTTTTTAGCCTTTGCAGAGTTAACTTTTTACTTTTTTAAAAATTATTTGCTTATTTTTTAAAATGACACCTTCATTAACTCAGATTTTATTATTTTAAGTACTATTTTAGGGATTTGAATTTTTTTATACCTGTACTTACTAGGTTTTTTTTATTTTTTAAGATTTTTAACCTGTTTTTTAATTTTTTCATTTGCTGCTTGTTTGGGCCTGATCCTGTTTTTCTCATTGAACAGTTTCTTTCCATGGGCACAGGCTTCGTTCCATTACTAATTTAGCAAGGAGGGTGGGCTCCTTAATTAGCTGCCACCCCTCCTGGTCCCTTTCCTCTTTACAATTACCCCACGGGGTGCTTTTCTTGTAGTGGGGATGCTGTACATACAACCTTATTTTTCCTTTATGCGCTGGACCTCTCCTCGGTCTTAATGAGGGCCGCTATGGGGGGGTGCAACAAACATTCAACCACCCTTGGGGATCTTTGCACAGCGGGAAATCAAAGCCCTCACAAGGGTTACCCAAATCATCCCCTGTGAGGCTTGCCACCTGGACCGAACGCACGGCCAACTGACATTTTAACTGCTCAATTTTCTTTTCATGGCGCGCACACTGCCGTTGGGGCATATGCTGAGCACGAATGGTTAAATCTTTGACAAGTCCTTGAAGGACTGGTACTTGCTTAGCCAGTGCTCCCAGGCAGGTGCGTTCTGCTTTTTTCCCCTGGAAGTCCTGTCTCAAGGCTTGCAGTTTATTCTGGGTGTAGACTTGGGTTGCCGCCTGGTACGTGATTTGTGCTTTCAGTTGCTCAATTTCCATTAGCTGTAACACACCTCCCTTCTCCCCAGCTCCGCTTGCTGTCCCAACAACATTTGATACCACATGGCTGCTGCAGTTTAAATTAATTCCACAGCTGCCCCTAGGTTTTTACCCTTCTGCTTTTTATACTTGGCATATAGGTCTAACAAATCCTGCCAAGTCTGCACTCTTTTCTGAAGCTCTGCCACAGAACCTTGGTGAGAGCCTTCTCAAGCCGGGAGAGGTCTTCACCTCCCTTTGAAAGAGGCAGCAGGGTCCCATCCCTCTTTGCTGCCTCCTCCATGGCTCGGGCATCAGGCTCACCTGCCTCCTGACCAGGCAGCTGGGCTACCGTGCCTGCATTCCTTAATGCCTGTACGTCCGGCATTGACCCCGTCATTGATGTCATCACCCACGACTGCGGGACTCCCAAGTCCACAGCTGTACCCTTCTGTTTCCTGAACATGTTGTTACAATTCCTTAGTACAACTTTAAAAATCTTTTAATTACTTGAAATTGCACGTTGCTTACACCGACCGGCACCAGGGCTTACAATGCTCACCCCTCCCCCCCCTTTGAGGGGCCAGAGGAAGAGACGCTAAGCCTCCCTCCATATTACTCTGTCCGATCCCACTGAGGGATACATACACCCCACCGAGGGTACTTACACCCCAACTCTGTCCGGTTAGAGCGAGACACCCTATGGTCTCCTCTTCAACGCAGTCATACTACGACTGGCGGTGTACGCACTGAGGATTATTCCCTTGGAGCGAGAATTGCAAAGTTCCCCTCCCATTGCCCGGTACTGCTATGCCCAGGGATAGACCCACCTGCACCCTTCCCCCACCGACCGGGGTGGAGAGAGGAATACTAAACCTCCCTCCGGTTCTCTGTCATGCTACGACTGAGGGTGGGGCACACCTTTAATCATAGAATCCTCAACATGAAATACCAACAGTGCCAGACAGAGCAAACATGAAATACCCGGGGGCGGGGGGGGAGATAGATACAGGAACACACCATGTGACTAAATTTTAAAGCTTTATTAAGAAAATAATAAATGAACAGCAGAGCATGCTGGAATCACATCTATGTCACGCAGAGGAAGGAAAAAGCATTCGTGCCCGAGCTGTAACCCACTTCCATAATCACACCTAAGCTACCCCAGGCTGGCCAGGCCTGAGCTGTACTGTCAGAAGGCGGTGGGGGATGGACAGGAGTTTGTCCTTTGCACAGGTCATTCGGGGGGTCCGCTGCAAAGTTTCCAAATTGTTTCTGCTCTTGGGAGGGTTTTTAAGCCCTGGGGGTCTCTTGGGGGCATCCCCTTCAGAGACCTTTGTTCCCCATGCTCAATGTACCAGTCCAGACCGGCCTTCTGTGGCTTCTTCAGCTTCCCTCAAAACACACCAGCTCCAAGGTCACAAAGGCAGACTGGTGAGTCTCACTGGGCAGCCAACTTTTGCAATTGTGTAATATCAGTCCTGCAACTTGCTTTGGTTTTATTTTTTACAGCCAGCTGCGGGTTTGGTGGTCGGCAGGCGGAGCAAGGCAGAGACTGTGTTGATTTTTGACCTTGAGGGCAGAGCCGCTTTCTTTTTTATTTTTAGGCCAAGCTGAATTTTTAAATTAACCCTTTCCTTTCCCACCTCGGCCTTCTAAGACCTGCAAAGGAACCTTTTATTTTACTTTTATACCTTTAACCCTTCCCAAAACACTTTGCAATGCCTGCAACAGCATTAGCAACGTACAATACTGATCTGCCTCCCCAGGGGACTTGAGGGAGGGGGCCATTGGGGTGTGACACAGGTGTGGGTTGAGACTCTTCTGTGTGGGGCAATCTGGGTGCGGGCAGCTCAGTAGGGAATTCGGCTATGGGGGGATCTGGATGCACAGGGTCTTGTTGAGGGGTTCTGGGTGCAATGGTAATGGGACTCTGCAGGGGGGGTCCAGGTGAAGGTGGTTGGGGCTCAGCACAGGAGAGGCTGGGTATTGGGTGGATAGAGCTCAGCGGGCAGGTTGGGATCCAGGTGCAGCTGGTTGGGGCTCAGTGGGGTGGGGATCTGGGTGGCTCATCAGGGTGGTCCAGGTGCAGGGGTAGTGGGGCTCATCAGGGGAGTTCTGAGTGCGGAGGGGGGTGGCTCGGTGGGAGGATCTGGGTATGAGGGGGTCTGGATGCATACAGGTTGGGTGGTTGGGGGAACAGCTCCCTGTACCGGGTTCCCTCCCCTTCAGCTGAGGAGTAATGGGTGCAGGAAATGGGGGGAGAGTTTGCAGAGCTTCCTGCAGTTGGGGGAGAAATCTGGAGGTGGGTCTAACCTGGCCCCAGATGCCATGCAGGGAAGAGGAAGTCCCATTCTCCCCAGCCCAGCTGGGACTAGCAGCTGAGCATGATGCAGGGTAGGAGCCATCAGCCAGGTCTTCCCCAGTACCGTCCCCTGCACCACAGTGATTTACCTCTCTGCTGGCTGCCCTGGGCACCCAAAACACACTGCTGGGGAGGGTTGAATGACAGCTCTTGTGACTTCCCTGTCAGAAAGTCATTTTTCTGTGGGGAAGCAAAGAAATTGGTGGGGGGGGGGGTCATAAATTTTGCACATGCACAGTGGGGCAGAATTCCCCCAGGAGTAAATAAAAGAATCACGGGGCCAGAAAAAGAGAGCACAAGCTTCTTGCCAAATGGTGGAGGTATCTAATCCCAAGAGATGGGATGCAGGAGGTCTCTGCAGCCCAGATTTTGTGCCTATCTCCAAGAGTTTAGCCCACCCCCCTCAGCTTGACACCTCCCATTGGCTAGTTTAGGCAAGAAGCTGCCTACTGTGCTAGCTTTTGTGAATCTCATTCTGAGGCACCTCTCTCCTCCCATTTATTCCAGGGCTTGAAGATGCCTAACCTAGGCTTTGTGAATTCCAGTGATTTTTCTAGGCACCTAAAAATTAGGGATGGCGACACTCAACATTGACATGCCTAAATTCCTTTGTTAATCTAGCCCAAATGATTGAAATAAACTGGGTTCCAGAAACCACAGTTCTCATTAAACAGGTGTTGTGGGTACAATCTCACAGAACAGCATCAGTGCAAATCCAGTTAACATTAATAGGAAAATTAGCCACGGGCAAAACAAAACCATTTTCCAAAAACTTTGAGAAAAAACTTTATTTTATGAGTGTATTCTTCTATGAAATTAATAATTTTATTAAATTCACAGACTATTAACTTTAATTCATTATTTTTATAAACACCACGTTGCTTACAAAAATAACAATGACTGTCTGAAAATGTGAGACAATGTGAAATGTCAGCTGCCAAAGCTAGCAATTCAGAGATCATATGGCTGCTGGCATAAGGGGAAACTTACAACACTAAATAAAACCACCTCCTTCTATGCTCCTTGTTGAACAAGAAATGCTAAATTGGTTTTAAAGTTCATAGACTGAATTTACATTAACCCATGCAGTCAAACTCACTGGAGTAACGGATGGACTAGAAACAACACAAATCAAAATGGTCATTTTGTTATATTACTTTCTTCGTTATGTTCTATTTCAAAAATTTCCTAATAACATATTACAACGCCTAAAGAAAGAAAATATTAAAACCAAATATTTAACATATTTATTTAAAGACCACCACCTTTAATGATGAAGAGCCCTTAACAGCTATGCTGGGGAAAGTACATTGGGAGTTTTACTTTGTCTTCTTATTTCTAGAAATAGAGCAATACTCTGATCCCTAAATAAATTACATAAACAAGTTGTGTTTCCATAAATATAAGGAAAATGGCTGAGATTATGTACAATGTATTTTCAGCTTCTTTAGAAAAAAAATGATGGGACTAGAGCAAGAGAGAGACACACACATTTAACAATATCATGCCACCATTCTTAACATACTTGCATCACATCATGGCTCACTTATGCTTTTAATTTACAGTAGCTTTTACCATGAGTAGGATTGCTTTTCCAGGTCTTGTTTTCAATGCTGAAAATTACTAATAAACTCGTTTGCCCTTTTACAAATGGGGGCCTGAGGAATGTCTGTAACTGTCCCTTTAAAGGTGTTTCCAATGGCTTCTGAGAATACCTGCAATATATTTTTCATAGTCCATTTGAAGTACTGGTTTTTTTTAGCACTTTGTTAACATTCTTAATCAA